CTAGGTATGTGCCCTGACCAGGAATTGAACCTGAGACCCTTTGGTGCATCAAACAATCCTCCAACCAACTGAGCCACAGCAGCCAGGCCAGTTCTTAACCATCTTGATGCTAAATTATCCCATCCTTTGGCCATTGAGAGCTCTTCAAAATTGCTCCCAAGTCTTTTTGACATGACCCTTTTATAGAAATCTCTCTTCAGAGCTGAAATATTATTCCAACGGGAAAACTGGCCGTAAAAAATAAGCCAGCATATTATTTCTGAGGTACTTTTTCCCCCCCTTTAATTTGAATGGGTTCCCTCCTGATGAAGGTCTCTCCCACCCAGCTCCCATCACCCTCTTGACTTGAATGCTCCAGGACACTCTCACCTCTGGCTATACTGCCCTAGGCCTCCCTGCTTTGCTGGAGTTTCAAAAGATGGAAAGTCAGAGTTGGAAGTGGCTTGGTGGCCCCGGGAGGACATCCAGGTGTTTTACCAGGTGTTGGGCAGGCAGGGCTGGGCCCCAGCTGACTTCCCAAGGGGTGCTCATCCCTCCTCATGTGAGAAGTATAGTTCCAGCATAGTCTAAGTTTTTTAAACATTTTAACTCTTTGCAGGCCTTCACTCTTATATATCTCACAAAAGGTCTGGGTTGCCCAGGCTCACAGCATCCTTAAGCACCTGCCTTTGTCTGAGCCCTGACTGCATCCAATCCAGCCTCTCCTTCCAACTCTGCTGAGATTCCAGTTTTTCTCATCTCACCTCGTCTCCATCTCTATCCCTACCTCTCTCTTTTCAACCTCTAAGTGACCATCTGGATTTGAACCCACATATGCTGGCTCCACAGTACCTGGCACTTGGTGCCTACCTTTGTTCCTTCCCACTGAGCACAACCTGTCCTCTGTCTTTATCCTCTTTGAACACGTAACTATTTATTTTTTAAAAATGATAAATACATGCCCTAACCGGTTTGGATCAGTGATAGAGTGTCAGACTGCGGACTGAAGGGTCCCAAGTTCGATTCCGGTCAAGGGCATGTACCTTGGTTTCGGGCACATCCCCAGTGAGGGGTGTGCAGGAGGCAGCTGATTGATGTTTCTCTCTCACTGATGTTTCTAACTGTCTTTCCTTCTCCCTTCCGCTCTGTAAAAAATCAATAAAATATATTAAAAAAGTAATAATAAATACATAGTTCTCTGATTTCAGAATGAAGACATACACATAAAAATTTAAGTAATCTAAATTTTTTTGAACACATTAAGATACCTCTCTTGTCGGGCCTCAAAATAATCATCAAGTATTTGGTGTACTTCCTTCTAGACCTACATAAAAATTTACAAATTTTTTTTCTCAAAATGTGCTTTTTCTATATGTACTCTCCTGCACACTACTTTGTTCACTTATTAGGAACCGCTTCTTGTGTTCAGAACAGTTATGTCTTCTGCATTGTATTTAACAGCTTCAGTTTTCCATTGATACCATAAATGACTTAGTTCCATACTGATGAATATTAGGGGTTGCGTCCAGTTTTTCATTATTTCAAACAATGCTGCAATTAGCATCCTTGTACACTCAGCTTAGTACACTTGTGTAACTATTCCCATAGGATAAATTCCTGGAAATGTAATTTTTGAGTCAAAACCATGCACATTTTAAATTTTAATAAATACTTTTAAACTGACCTCCAAAAAGGCTGTATAATCTACACTTACAATGACCGCCTCTTCCCTGCACATATTTGCCAGACTGATGTTATGAATTTTTTTCAGTTTTGCCTGACAGGTGAAAAGTATTTTATTATTGTTTTATTTTGCATTATTTATTGTTAAGATTGGACATGTTTATTGGTAATTTCTGTTTCTTTGGTGAACTGTTCATGCCCTCTTTTCACGTTTGGATTTTCTTTTTCTTAACAACTCAAAAATCTTTCTTGCATATTGTACCAATCATTTTCTCATGTGTTAGAAGAAAAATTTTCCCAGTTATGTTTGTAGATTGAGTTGGCCATATATTTTTAAATTGTGAATGTGTTCAAACTTAAAAATTTTCATTTGTGCCTGGCCAGTGTGGCTCAGTGGTTGAGCCTCGACCTATGAACCAGGAGAGGTCAGGGCACATGCCCAGGTTGCAGGCTTGAGATCCCCAGTAGGGGATATGCAGGAGGCAGCTGATCAATGATTCTCTCTCATCAATGATGTTTCTCTCTCTCTCTCCCTCTCCTTTCCTCTCCGAAATCAATTAAAACATATAAAAATTAGCCTTATGTAATAATAACCAGGAAATAACAAGAAGTCTGATGTGCTGGTTATAATTTCTTTAATATGAATGAAAATAAACACAAGACAAAGTTTTTAAAAAATGTCCCCCATACTGTTTAAAAACATCCATATTATCCATATTTTTTGAAACTCTTTTCTAGGTGGTCACAAACCTTTTACCTGAACATTCACTCTTGCTTCAAATTCATTGATCTTCACTCACAGTCCTTTCAAGCCCACTTTCTTTGCTGTGTCAAGGTGATCATTTCCCCAATCACATAAGCTCCAAACTGGGCTTGGAAGATGCTCTCCCTCCTCCCACCCCCATTCATTGTCTCTTGCTCTCCATTCTCCCAGACACTGTTTTCATCCTCCTTCCTGATTCGTCACCTCCCGGGATTTGTCACAGTTCCTTCCCCAAGACCAGCATGTTCCTTTGAAGCCCATCTTTCTCAACCAGCTTCATCATGGCTGACTCCCTATTGCCCTCTGTATTGTTTATTTATCTATTTATTAATCCTCACCTGAGGATATGTTTGTTGTTGTTGTTTTTAATTGATTCTACAGAGAGAGGGAGAGAGAAACATCGTTGTGGGAGAGAAATATCTATCAGTTGCCTCCCATACTCCTCCAGACAGGAAATGGGACCTGCAACCTAGGCACATGCCCTGACCAGGAATCGAACCTGAAACCTTTTGGTGTATGGGATGACCCTTCAGACAACTGAGTCCCCCCCTCCCCCCCAGGCCAGGGCTGCGACTGTTTAATTTAAACACACTTCCTGGCCCGTACCCCCATCTTCTACTGTTCTACAGACAATCACTGTGACTTTGGGACTTTCCTCCCTCCCCCTGCTCATCCAAGCCTTACCTGTCCTTACAGGCTCCATTTCCAAGAAGCATTCTCAGCTGATCCCAGCCCTCTCCCTCTCTTACTCCTGGAGCCCTGGCTAGTGTCAGCTCAGGTAGTGCATCTCCCTGGGTAGATCACAACTGCTCCAGGGCAGGTTTTAGTTTGAATATTCCTTCTGCATCGGCACATTGTCAAGCACACATCAGATGCTCCATAAATATGTTGAGTCACTGAAAACTTACCTCACACTCCACCTGTCCCCATTACTACAGCCACTCAACCCTCCCTGCACAACCCCCAACTCCCACAAACCAAGGGTCAGAGGGAAAAGGAAACAAATGTAAGAAAGGCAGAGCACACTGAAATTTAAGAAGCCAGTTTTAGGATCATTAGTCTTTTAATATATTATTCTGCAAGAAAGGAATTAAAAAAAAATTCCTGACATCTCTTCTGATTTTTTAAAATTTAAATAAATACCCTGCCCTCCCCCCACCCACAAAAATGTCCCTCCTTCCCCATCATCCCACCCATCCCTGGTGCCAGATCCTCACTCCAGAGCTAAAGAAGATGCCTGTTTCAGAACAGGCCAGCTCCCTACCAAATTCTGGCGACTTGTAAATACTGTAAATGAGTCTGCTGCCCTCCAGACCAAATCCCTAGCTTTGGGGCAGGCCTGGGTAGTGGGGCCTTCAGGCGTTGGGGAGAGTGCAAACGTGCTTTCCTTTAATTGCTCTCGACTCCCCACTCCCTGCTTGGGGTGGGGGGAGGGGGCGGCAGAATTGCCCTCTAGACTAAAATAAATAAAATAAATATGCCCTCCCCAATTCCCGACTCTATAAGAGCTCCTTCACCTCTCACTCTCTAGTCCCTCCTTCAGTTGGCCCGTCCCCTTCCTCCCTAACCCTTCCCTCCACCCCCATGCTGACCTCTGGCTTGGCCTTCGCCCTCTCGGGAGGGGTCTACCGCGCTCAGTGGGAAGAGCAGCGAGAGCCTCACTCCCAACTTCAAGCAAACCCTCCTCCTCCCCCAAATGTCTGTGGGTACTGCTAGTGCCCCAAGCCCATGGGCCTAGCAGACTCCCTGCCTCCAGGGGTTAGGATGAAGGGCCGGGGTGGCTCTCTCTCACCTGGTCCTTCAAGGGTCCCTCATTCAGGGCAAGTCTCTCGGGGAGCCCTGCCCTGCTCCCCAGTCCTGCTGCCCCGGCCTCCCGCCCTCCTCAGATGGCAGTGTCCCAGAGGACGGTGTGCTGCCGGCGGCAGGGCGGGGTGCC